TCAAACATGACTCTAATTTTAAGTTTTTTTCCCCAGAAAAGATGAGCATCTAAGAATTCATTTTGATTCTAATTTAACGTCAAACTATACATCCATTAAAAAATCTCAAATTATTACATCCGTTAAAAAAATATCTTAATCAACTCTATCGCAACATGTAACCTTTGTTAAATTCAAATCTATAAAATATTTTTATTTGATTAAATTTTGAATTTTATTAAATAATGATATAATATGTTCTTGCTGTGAAATAAGAAAGAACGAAGCAATAAGAATAACAAGAAGAATAGACATGAGAATAAGGATAAAGAAATTTATTATTATCTCAATATGAGTTGTGTACAATATTTTTTTCTTTCTAAACTCCATAATTATAAGCATGAGGGGAAGATATCAAATAGAACTCTAAATCTAATGGATATTAAAGTCCTAATAATAAATTATACCAAAACCTTATCTTATAGATAGAGATGGACATCCACATAAATAAATATTCATAACATTTCTCCTTAGATGTCTATGTAGAGAATGTTCATCGTTAAAATTTTACTAAGATAAAAACCTTGTGGGAAAAAAATCTTAGTGAAAGAAAAAGATTACAAATATCTTTAATATGCATAACATATTGTCTCATTAAAAACCTTACCAGTAAAATTCAGTGGGACAAAACCTTAATTAAGAGAAAAAAAGTATAATGCATATTTACTCCCCTCATGATAATATAACATAAGATCTTTGAGTATTAAAATTCAATATTGAATACAATCTTCAAATATTCAAATAAACAATACATCAATGAATAGATCTTTTCAAATTATCACTTGAACAAGTTCGTCAAATATTAAACAACTTTTCTTTTATAGTAAAATCATAAATAAAATAAAATTAAACTATAATAATTGTACCCGATAATCATAAGCAATGCCATCATCCTTATGATTGTTCTCGTATGACTATCACAAAACACTAAAATTGTCACACCCCAAATTAGGGCCTAAAATTTTCTTTAATTTTTTTTGAGGATTAAATTGAAATTTTAAATAAATTTGAGGACCAAAGTAGAATTTTGATTAAATTTGGATCCAAATTTGAAAAGTACTAAAAATGGAAGACTTATAGTGTAATTACATCATTTTTCATAAGTGTTGGTTTAAAACAAAAAAAATACAATTTCCATTTCTGGAAAGTTTTAACCCTCTTTTTCTCTCTTTTTAACCCTTCCTCATTTAGAATGAAACATTTGATCGACGTTTTGTCGTCGACCGTTGCTCTGTTTTTTATACTTCTTGCACCATCGTGTTCTTTACGTTGTTCCGAGTTCATCGGTGTCCATCTTGTCTCCGTTTTCGTTGGCATGTGAGGGGGTGAGAAAAGTCAAGTTTTCTACGTTTCGAAATCGAGCTTTTCGTCGTTTACCGTTGTGAACTGAGTGTGGTAAGTGTCTCAAAACCTCTTAAAACGTACGCATGGATTTTTACGAAAATTTTTTGACCCCTGGAGGCCCTGCACGCGCGGGAAGTTCCATTGCCTGGTGGGTTGCTTGAAATTGGACCGACCCGAACCGACTCGTATGTTCGACCCGACCTGAATCGAACCGGTCAACCGTTGATTTTTTTTTTTGAAAACTTCTATTTTGACGTTTTTGACGTTCTGAATCTTATTCGGTGATCTGTTTTGCCAAATTCTGACCTAAAAGCCTCGAATTGAGCTCGTTAATCAAAAAATGCTTAGTATTTTTAGCACTTTTGCTTATTTATTTGGGATTTGATTATGGAATTGATTCGAGAATATATTTTTATGAAGGTACTCGTGTTTCACCCGACCGAGGGTCGGTTAGATCTGCTGCTTCTCATCCGACAGATCCGCACTAATCGTGTTCCTTGAGAATTACTCATAGGTATCTATAAATTGTTTAAATAGGGGTTATTATTATTCATATTAGGATTCTGATGAATTTTCTGATTCGTAGGATCTAGCGTTACTGCTGATCATGATCAACAGACTCAATAGTAGGCTTTCTTATCAGACTACTCAGACCGATAAAAATGTGTTTCCTGATGGTGTTACATTATTGTTTTAAACTATTCATCTGAACTATTTTAGATTTCTAATAGTACTGAATATTTTTACGACATGATACCTGATTTCCTGAATATTGTTTATCTGATATATGATTTACTGTATATTTCTGATATGATATTTGATTTATGTATTTATGTCTCTGATTTTTGAGTCTAGAATATTTTCATGTTTTAATGGATTAAACTATCGTTTTCACTCGAATACATACATGTTTATTACTTTCATTGGGGTATCATTGGAGGGAGTATATCAGGCCTAGTCAATGACTTGTAGGAACTTACTGTAGGCTCATATGCTTTGTGCTCAGGGTAAGTCCTTACCACATGTTCTTATGTTATATGTATAAGGCCCTTACCGGGTGTACATGTTGGTGTATGGTTCTGGGGAACCTACACATTATGGTAATCACATGGGGGTAATATTTATATTTTTAAAATATGTTTGATAAACTGTTTTATTACTGAAGCATTTTATTTGTATGGTTTTATACACTGTAAGGAGCACACTGGACTTTTTAGCTCATTCTGTAAATTTTAACATTTTCAAATAGTAGCAGATCGTAGGCTAGCAGACTTGGCATCAGGAGGACAAACTACTCCTATTTTTGTACCATTGTATATCTCTATATGTCTTTTTGTTCTACTTTGGTGCCACATGTTTTTTTGCTATTGTCTCGATATATTTGTATTACTGGTATTTTGTTATGTATATGTTTTATACGGTTTTTTAAATATATGTATATATTGATATATAGATGTTTATCGTATGAATATTTCTTATGACTAATTTCATATTTTACTGTTATATGGATTTTAACGTTGTTTTAAATATGAAAAGAAATTTCTGAATAAGATATGTTGTTTTAAATATGAAAAGAAATTTCTGAATAAGATATGTAACCGTTTAGATTTGAACATATCGTCCAGACTGGGTCTAGAGGGCTACAAAAATAACATTGTTTTCATTGTAACATCATAATCACAAATAATGTTTAATTTACTATAATGTAAACAAAAGACAAAGGACGGGTTTTAGAGCCAAACATGATGGCATTATCCTTGTAAAATCAAAGTTTGAAGCCCCTTGTCTCCGTCAAGAGATTTGACAAAATTCAAAAATTCAATGCAGGATTTACAGAGAACAATTAATATTATAAAATCTAAATGTATTAACTGCTTAGTAAAATACCTCAAGCTTCTCGACAACTTCCTCTATTATTAACGCCTAACTCAACTCCTTTTTCTTTTTTGAATTTGCTTCCCATTGCAATTGATAGAAGCGCAATCTATAAACATATACCCTGCCTGAATTCAACAAAGGTAACAGTAACAAGAAGAAGAAGATGCCTTGACGGCAGTAGCGAGAGTGTTTCCAGTAACAGCGTTAGTGCGTAACCCAACGGAAGAGATCTTAACTCCTGTGTTCAGTTCAAAGAATCTGATTTCATCCGTCAAATTGTTTCAACATTTTCAGTAAGTATTGTATAAATAATCGCATAATTTTTTTTCTCAATCTCATTATTAAATATACAAATCAAAAATATAAAATGCTCTTACGAATATAAAATATACTTAGCTGAGGTTGTAGTGTATTGACAATGTTGGAAATTCAGTCTTTATCGTTTAAAATCTTGACAGAAGAGTTGTGGATGATGAATCAATTATTTAATATAAATAAATTATTGCTTCTGAAGAATTCATACTATTAACGTGTTGTGAAATAAGAAAAAAAACTTAAATGATAAAATATATCAAAACTTTATCTTTATCCACATAAATAAATATTCATTACAGTTCAAGTTATAATTTTTGTTTAAATTTATTTATAAACTTATGAATTTTTAACGTTATCCTCAAATTATGTATATCTTATTTTAAATTGATATAAAATTTAAAATTTTGAATGTTGTAACTCTTACTTTAAATTAATCTTTAAATTCTATCAATAAATATTAAAATGAGTGGTTAAAAACTTGCCGTTAACATCTTTCTTCTTCCCAATTATGTATTCTTGACACTATCCTTAAACTATCAATATATTATAATAATGTTCTTTTTAATATAATTGTTTAAGTTTATATAAAATTAATTTTCATTTATTATTAAATTGAAGCACTTGAAAGAATTTAGAATAAAAACCATAATTGGAAAGAACCAATTTAAAATAGTCACAACTTGGAATAAAATTAAAATGTTGAAAAGTTTCAGGACCAAATTAAAATGGTCATAATTTGTGATGCAATTAACTATATATTTTAACTAAACTTTCCATACGAATAAAATATATATGTGAAACATGTCCCATAAATAACAGCTGTTACCACGTGACACATGTAGCCTACTCCGCCTACCCAGACCCAGCAAAAAGAGTGTGAAACCCCTCCCCCCCCCCCCAATAAAAGATATATTGAAAACGTACAAAGATTAAACCAGCTGTCCCGCTGTAATGTTAACACAAAATGGGTCACATAAAAGACAAGACAACACCCTGCGCTCGACTTTCCACGTTTCTATACTCGCTTTCTTTCCCAATCTCACCGCTACTCGCTCGTTTGCGCGTATTTATTAGTTGCTTTCGACTTTTATTTATTCCTCAAATATTTCATTAATCACTTAATCAGTTTCAAAATCAAACTTAAATAAATAGAGAAAATACATAAAAATATAATTAATTGACAATAATAATAATAATAACAACTATAATAACAATCAAGAATAAACTATCATCAAATCTCAACCGCTAAATAGCAAGACTATCGTCATATAAAATCACAATCACCGTCAAAATATAAATATAAATATAAATAAATAAGAATACAAAATAAATACGCTGCTACTGCTACTAAAAATAAGAATCTAACAATGGGCCTAAAATAAAAATCGACCAAATTCAAATCCTGAAATCCCAGAAAGTGGGATCTAAACGAACAAAGCAGCGGCTGCGAAAACCGCTACAACGGTGGATCCAGCGACTGTAACTATGTTCAAATCGGCGGCATTAGGAGAAGTCGGAGACACTCCTGGTGTATCACTGATGGTAGATGGAGGTACAGGGCCAGTGGAAGGACCACCAGCGGTGGGAGAACCAGCAGGAGCCGTAGGAGGAGCCGGGGGAGAGGAAGTTGGAGAAGATTCAGGGGCGGAAGATGGAGAAGTGGCGGTTGATGGCGGCGAGGCGATAGGTGTAGCGGTGGGAGTGGTGGTCGGAGAAACCGTGGGAGCTGGAGTTGTAGAAGACGGTGGTGACCTGGTTGGGGCGGAGCTTGGAGCTTGACCGAGAGCACAGCTTGCGATAAGAGCTAAGAGAACAAAGCAAGCGAAGCATTTTGCCATTGTGGACTTTAAGAGAAAATCAAAAGAAAAAACAGAGAGCTTGAGAAATAGAGGAAGCGGCAGTAGGGTAGAGGAGAAAGAGAGAGGAAATAAGGTATATATAGAAGGTTTAGGCCTTGGGATGGGTTTTCACGGACTTATATATATATATATATATATATTATGCTTTCTAAAACTTTTGAGTTTTCTGATTTATTATCAAGCCTATTAATTTGTTTTTTGTTTCAGTTTACTCCAATTTTTGGATTCTTTTTTTTTCTTTTGAATTGAAAGTAATCAAAGATTAAGAGCTATTAGATCACTTTATTTTGCATATTTGAATAGTCTTCTTCCATTCCTTTTCCTTTTTGGACTTAGAAAGAAAGCAAAAGAGTTTTAACTACGCTTACTTTAAAATTGTGTCATAAAGTTTTTATTTTCATTTGTGTATGTATTTAATTGATTTTATAGATACCCATTGATAATATTTATTTATATTTTTTAAATATTTTTATTTTTAATATATTTTTTATTAAATAATAAAAATAGTTTATTCAATTCAATTTTATTTAATATATTATTACCTGTATTAATAGTAATGAAGTCATGACAAAGGAAAAGTATAAGGGGAGCATTTCATAATTTATAAAAAGTACATGGACACAAGTGAAATCAATCTTCACAAACGGTGACTTGATCGTACTTTCAAGGGAATAAAAGACATACACGTGTCCACTGAGACCCCATTGAGAGAATCTCAACCGTATAACCTACTTTTTGTAAAATCCAAAAACGCGTTGGTTTTAAGCATTGGATATTTAGCTCAGTAAACTGTTCGGTGGAATCGTGTCTAATAATTCAACATTTTTTAATTTTTTATATTATAATTTCATAAATTTAAGCACGTCAAAATTATAAAATACAGTGCAAATCAAATATATAAAAATATTTCATATTAATAACATTTTAGCGTATCATGTGATATTAAATAATTTAATTTAAAAATAAAAGAAAATTCCCATGGATCAAAGCAATTCCCAATATTATGAACAAAATTCTGCTTACCGTTACGATTGGCACGCTGTTGATCCAATTTATTATTTATCGGAACTATCGTTTTCAAATAATCATAGCTTAATGAAAAATAATACTAACCTTTTTCTAAATATTTTATTAAAGTTGTCTCCTCCTATATTGAAAATTGTAATATTGTTAATACTTTAAGAAAAAGGCTTTGGATTCTTCTTTTGTTCTAATAAAATAAAGCTTTTGTTGTGCTCTTTTTCTAGCTTATATATCACAAAGCTTAAACACTATTGGACCACGTGTAAAACAAAGCACGAATCAATTAAAAAATATATATATATATGACTAAACTCCTTAAATGAATTGGGTTGGTGAAATTTGAAGATTAGTTTTTAAATAGTTTTTGTGTCGATATTAAAGTAATTAGCGTGTTGGGTTTTTTCCTTTTTTTATTTCGATGTATCGGCCCTACATTTTAAATTTATCGGTATTTTTAATATTTATATTATATGTATTTCAATTACACGTATAAAAATAAATTATAAATAATTTTTTAATAATCGGAGAAAATTATAAGGTAATATTTGTTTAGAACTTTCTTAATTAATTGACAATTCAAACATCTTACACATATAACTACTCGAATCCAAGACCTCTAGAAGAACTACATTCCCTTTTATCACAATGGACTAAGGACACTTGATGAGTTCATAAACTACAAATAGTTTAGAGTATTGGATTCAAGTAATATCACATTTTTGGTATAACAAATGATTCACAAATAAATTTCTCATGTTTGAATTTTAAAAATTATTTTAAATTAATAACCATGTATTTCAAATGATATAATGACTTCGGAGTAGAGAGAGTATCTCAATATTATCTCTTATTTGTAGGAATGAATCGAGGGGTGAGTGGGAGCAGCCGTCTCTAAAAATTTAAAAGTACTAAACATTTTGGATTTTTTTCTATGTATTTTTTATTAAAAGTCTGTTTTCGTCCCTGAAATTTTATAAAGTTATCCCCTCTTAAAATTTTAGAAGTTCTTTCGTTAACATAAAATCATACATTAGTCATTGCTTCCTTGTATATTCTTAAATTGCAAGCAAATGTTTAATTTAGGACAATTTTATTCAGATTCATTTTATTAAGATTTTTAAAATATTAAAATTTAATTGTCTTATTTGAATAAAAATAATATCAATTTTTAAGATCTGTAAAAATATTAAAATATGATTTTGTAGCTTAAGAGCTCATTCGGTCTCATTGGAACCTTAAAGACTTTGACAAACGACCAGCATTAAGGAAAAGAAAAAAGTTGGTTGATAAAATGTGCGAAATACATAATATGAATGTTTTTATATTAATATGAAGTAAGTATAAAATAGTTAATATTCAAATATAACTCTTTATTATTTGAAATTGAATGTTCATATCTCTGATATTTTTTTATGTTTGAACTCGATATCTTAAGAAATAAAAATAATTATTTTACCACTAAAATCGATTGATATACGTTAAATATTAATTATTGTCGCTGAACTATTGGTATATGTTTCGTTCTTGACACTGAACTCTGTGATATCTATGAGGGTCTTAAAATGACTTGAGACAATAGTTTACAGAACCTTATTTTTCGTGACACTCCTCGTGAGTGTAATTGAGTGGCTGATAGTTGGAGGAAGTTAGAATGGAGCTTACCATTCCGATATTAGGAATTTCTATGTGAGGATGACTTGCTTCTGCATATTACGCAGAATACTATTAATCCTGCTTAATAGTTTGTAGTTTATCTTTATTCAATCAAAAATAATATTAATCATTGTATGAAAAAATTAAATTCGAGACTTACTTTAATAGTTGGACGTTGGATCTTTTATCTTAACAACCATGGTTCAAGTCTCCACTATTACATATTTTGCTTTGTTCAACTTAACTAATAAGATGATGGTATGATAATATCATCATAGGATGTCATGTAGGTTTATTATATTTCCATATATTTATCGTTTATCAAAGAGGGTTCCTTTTACGTCAAAAATAAATGTTTTATGGCCTAAAGTGCTATAAAAAAGAAGCATAAATGTAATATTAGTCCCTCAGTATTTATTTGAATGATCACTTTAGCTCTTATTATTTTTTAGTATTTTAACCTAATGTTTCAATTTTTAGTCAAAATAGTTTGTTTCGGATAAAAACCATTAGTTAACTAGAACAATGCATGTTTATGAAGTAATGCATGTGATAGGCACCCATTTTTTTTTTGTCAGAGTTAAAAAATATTATTAAATTATTATTATTATTATTATTATTATTATTATTATTATTATTATTATTAGTATTAGTATTATTAAGTGTATTTATATTTTTGTGCAGGCCAAATGTGGCCCAATTATAAGCAACCCAACAGACCCATATCAAAAACAGTACCAAGCCTCTCCACCGACGAGTCACTAAGGCTAGTCACCTCTGAGCAAGTTGAAACATCATCATCACCATGTCGGCCACTGAACAGCAAAAACAAACAAACAATATCAGCAAAGTCAAAAGCATATCACCTAAATCATACCTAACCTGTCAATATCCTACCAAAAACGAAGAAAATGCATATGCATCCATGAAGATTAGGTGGAGATATCAACCATAAAATAAGCAAAGGAGACAAGGAGAATGGGATTCACCCTTCGAAAAGCCTACAGGAAACCATTGTAGCAAGAATCTCACTTTTGTATTTAAAAAAAAAATCGAAAGCAATAGAAATACAATTTGGGTTCAAGGTATTTTTTTTAATTGTTTTCATTTTTCCCGTTTTCTCTGTGTATGCATGTGTGTTTCAAAATAAATAAAAAACAATTGAAAAGGGAGGAAAGAGATTTTACCTTAGTGTTGTGAGCTTTAACTGCCGGAGTGATTGTCCTCATCTTTAAGGGACTAGGCGGTCAGTTCCGAAACAATGAGTCTTGAGTAGATTTTAAAAGGATTCGGATGAGAGGATTAGATTAAAGTAAAATAAAAATATAAAATAAAGAGTGAAATATAGTTTTGATTTAGTTTACCTTATGGAGTTTGGGTCTTTACTGAAAAAGATGGGAGTCATCGTGGATGAGAGCATCGCCATTTAAGAAATAGGGAAGGGTTTAACAAGTCTTACCTGGTTAACGTGGTATGTAGTCGGAGCAAGGAACATCCTTCGGAGAAGCTGCCGGCGTTGTGAGTGTTAACCTTGAGCTTCTCGGGTATGGGAAGTAGAAGAGAGAGTTGAGATTTCTTTGAAGTTGAAAACAGGTGGGTAGTTTAGTTTAAGTATTAGGTTTAGGCTAAAGTTGTATTTTATATTAAAATATTTAAAATAATTAATTTTTAGCTCACTTGTACACTTACCTTGGAAATTGATTCTTTGTTCATATATATATATATATATATATTCGTTTAACGTGTCTTGGAAACTGATTTTTTGTTCATATATATATATTTGTTTAACGTGTCTCATGAAGAATAGCCATATTTTATTTGTTTAACGTATAGCTTAGTTGGATATATATATATATATTTTATTTGTTTAACGTATAGTTTAGTTGGATATATATATATATATATATATATATATATATATATATTAAATTAGTGGAGTATATATTATATTTAATTAGCCCATGCATGATCAATTTTAATATATTTTTATTATATTAGATGCATATTTGTATTTACTTTTATATTCTTTATATCATTTATTTAATAAGTATAGTGGTCCATTACTGGTTCATAATATGCGTACATGTTTGTATGATAGTATGTATATATGATTAATTAATATAAATTCATATAGTACCTTACATATATTTGTGTATCCTAGATCGAATTAAATCTTTATATTTTAATATTGAGTATTAGTTATGGTTCAAAAGTTTAAAACTTATTTATGGTAATCATATATAAGATATAGTTTATATCTAAATAAATGCATATAATTTTTGTATTAGAATGTCATGGTAATT